GTCAACCACAACATTTACTAACCATGAGGAATAGTTATAAAAGTATTTTGTGTGAGATCTACTGAAGATTGTGGACCAACCACCATACCAAGTTGATAGATTGAAGAATTGTTTTTAATTAATGTGAAATAAAATAATTAATTTATCTTAAAAATGTAAAAAAAAAAAGGGGAAATATGTATGTATTTTTTTATTTTAATTATATAATAATTCCCCATTTTTTATCTCATCTTATTTATTTAAATTTAAAATTTTTACTTTTAATAAAAAATAATCATTAAATTACTTATATGTTAATTGTTATAGTAGTTTTTTGACGGAGCAATGTGTCAACCGTCAGACAAGGGCTCATTTGCCACTGTTGAAGAGTATAAGGGATGGCATGCTTCTGAATTTGATTTAGGAACTAATCTGCCACTGATAATCACGTTTAGGCTAAAACCAATTTTGAGCTCTTCACTTTACAAAATTGATAGATTTTAGCATCTAACCTTATAATATAATATGACATTTTTAACCTTTTATCGTACAAAATTGATAAGTTTTAACTCTTCACCTTACAAAATTAGTAAATTTTAACTCTTCACTTATATTATTACACTTTTAGTCTCTTATCTGTACAAATTAAAAAGAATAACCCTTATTTAACATTAAGTTATAATATTCTATTAGTTCTGTTAACTTATTGTGAGTTCTGTTAGTTAACTGTTAGTATCCATTAGCATTTCATTAATAGAACTGATAAATAAAATTGAATTTAAACTTCATGTGTTTTTATAATGGAATACTAATGAATGTTAATAATTAACTAACAAAATTAACAGAACATTATAATTTGGTGTTAAGTAAGAATTATTTTCTTTAATTTGTATCGGTGATGGCTAACAATACCATGATATAAGGTAAGGAGTTAAAACTTACCAATTTTATAATATGAGGAGCTAAAATTTACTAACTTTGTAAGATAAAAGGTTAAAACCCTTATATTATAAGAGAAAATGTTAAAATTTACCAATTTTATAAAGTAAAAGGTTAAATATTAGTTTTTGCCTCACGTTTAAAGGGTATTTTGCATGATTCGCACGTTTACTAACCATGAGGAATAGTTATAAAAGTATTTTGTGTGACATGTACTGAAGATTATGGGCCAACCACCATACCAAGTTGATAGATTGAAGAATTGTTTTTAATTAATGTGAAAGAAAGTAATTAATGTTTTTTTTTTTTTTTTAAATTTTGACACGGGATGGGTTCGAAACCCGTCCAGGGAAAAGGGAAATGCACCTAGCAAGCTGGCCTCTAGGCCCGGTGCGATAATTAATGTATCTTAAAAATGTAAAAAGAAAAAAAAGACATATGTATGTATTTTTTTTATTTTAATTGTATAATAAAAAATAATTATTTCTCATTTTTTATCTCATTTCATTTATTCAAATTTAAAATTTTTTATGTTTTCAAAAAATAATTATTAAATTACTTAATTCGTTATCAAATTCATACGTATGTATATGCTAATTGTTATAGTAGATTTTTTTTATTTTTTTTGCATGATGAGTGCGTTTATAGAGGGGCAAATTTATTTGAGGCTGAAAAAATAATTACTTCCCCAATTCTTTGATTGCATTAAATGAGGCGTCACCGTCGTGAAATGGCACGGAGGAGGAGTTTCTCCTTTTCTCCCAGTCAGCAATCGTCAATGGCGACGCTGCTGAAGAAGGTATGGGAGTCGGTGGTCCCTCGTTCTGTTCCGCTGGCTCGTCGACCAAGTGGGGACAAGTCCCTGTTGTCATCGTCGTCGTCGTCGTCGTCGATCACTATGTCTTTCGGTCCTTTCTTCGACCAGATACCGGCGGACATACTGGTACAGATAGTGAAGTTCCTAACACCAAAGGACGCCGTCAAACTGAGCGCTGTTTGCAGAGCTTGGTTATCGCTGGTGTCTGATAATTGCCTTTGGATTCATTTCCTCCAGAATTACCAGCAGGACCCCTGGGACTCCATTATCTTCGCCGAGTTAAGCTTGAGATCCGGTTATCCTCTCCAGTAAGTGACACTCCGTCTTGCTAAAACCAAATACTCATTCACTTTTAATTTATTGTTATGGGTGAGGAAGAAAATTGATTGTATTTTATGCTTGAATTTGGGTCTCCTGTCCAAGGAAAAGAAAAAAAAGATTGAATTTTTTATGTTTTGTGTAAGTGTTGAAATCAATTAGCAAGATTGTTTAGTCTGATGTCGAATTGGAAAAAAGCTTGTCACTTTCTTCATTCTGGTTTAGAAAAATTAAAAATGCTGATCCTTTAGACCTCAATGTTTGTTTTGCTGACAGGGTTTCCTCCAGTCTAATGGCCGACTTATCTTTTATGCGAATTTATGGCCAAAGGCAACTAATCCCTGGCTCTGTTATCATTGATGGTAAGCATTACTACTGCTTTTCTTCACCATGTTTTACTACTGCTTATGTTCTTCTATGTTCTTCTGTATTCATCAAATCATTATATGTTTCGAAAAAGGTGGTTCTGGCTATTGCAAGTTTGGTTGGAGCAAATATCCCTGTCCATCTGGTCAGTCGGCAACATTTCTGGTGAGTTGATGGCTTTGCAACTCTGATTTTCTAATAAATTTATTTAAATCACACAAGGCACTTGAATCTATTATGTTTGGTTGGAGCAAATATGCCTGTCCATCTGATCTTCTAACTTCATGTTGGTTTATTGTAAATATCCTCCCTTGAATTTAATATGGCAGGAGTTTGGTAACATCGAGTCTCCAATGTATTCCAGACTTAGACATTTCTTTACAACTATGTACAGCAGGTCTGCACATTTTTATTTTTCTTTCTAATCTGGAACAAAGCAATTCCTTTTCTATACTAATTTTCAATTATCTTATTCTCACACACAGCGCACACACATGCGCGGTCCTCATCTGCTTTATGATAGATATAGAGATGACTATGATATTTAGCTAGTATCGTATGCATTTCCACTATACATGAGAAGCCTCTGTGGTGTAACAAAGAGAATTTATTTGCATTATCTATCCTGTGACATATTTCAAGTTCTATATATGAGTCTAGATGCCTATTTAATATTATGTATAATAGATTACTTCCAATTAAATTTCTGACATTATCCTTTTATTTACAGGATGCAAGTCAGACCATCTAATCATCCAATTGTCCTCTCCATTCCAATATGCCACTATGATGGTTCGTTACTATATTTTGAGGGTTATATCTTTGTCTGCTTGCTTCTGGTAAATATGTGTTTGAATTCTATAGTTCTGGAGCTGATGTCCTTTTTCTCTGGGAACAGAAGCAATGTGTTGTGCATACCTTCCTCATCTGTATTTATACTTTTTCACAGTCTATTAAATTGGTGTAATGAACTTCCTTGAGTATATATTGCTTGAATTCTTCTATATGCACTGCAACCTCTTTATTTTCAAAAATGAACAAATATGAACAAGGTTCCTGATGAATTCTTATAATTGAATAGTATTATTTATTAATATTTCCTTTTTGTGTTTGATTAGGCATTTACTATTCTTAGTTGTAAATTTAATTCTAACTGCAATATATGCATGCATTATATAATTTTCTTTGTGACGATCATTGGGTAACATATGATTCTCACGTTCTTTCTGTTGATAAATATGAAAAGTCTCAATGATAAGTTGGTTGGATATGCTAGGAGTTCAGTTTTGTAGAGTGAACTAAAGTGCAAATTTAGGATAGTTAACACTTTTTATTATGTATAGTTTACCTTTTTATTTATTGATGATATCAGACACTGAATCTGCCAAAGCATCGAGAAGGCAACTTAAAGAAGCCATTCATACTGTCTTGTTTGACATGAATGTTCCCGCTGTATGTGCCATCAATCAGGTAGACCTTTTCCCCCTCTAGATATAGGTTATAGGACCTATTTGCCTTGGAAACAAACAAAAACATAAAAATTTAAAAGAATAAAAAGTACTTCTTAATAATGCTAATTCTTTCTCTTATTAATTTATTAAGGATAAATACTGAATGAAGTTGTAATTTTTTTCTTGTAACTTTTAGTAGCGAAGCTTCTACTTCTGGGTTATGTTCATACCTCTGATGCTTGTTCTTGTTCTCTCTATCCTGGATTCATAAGCACACATACCCATCCTTGTTGTTGGTTGATATATGGATGCTGCCATTTCATGTACTTTTACTTTTGTTTTTTTTCTATGTGGATGTTGGATTTCTCCACTTTAACATGAAAGAATTCAACAGACTCTTTCTTTTTTCTTTTCTTCCCCTTTTTTGTTTTTGTTTGTCCTTAACTCAATACCTTATGGATGTCATATTGTGCAGGCAGCTCTTGCTTTATATGCTGCAAGGCAAACTTCTGGAATTCTTGTTAATATTGGTTTCCAAGTTACATCTGTTGTTCCGAGTGAGTTATCTTATCTTCAGTCCACACTTTCTGATCATTAATTAATTGATATCAAATAGTCTTATTAAATTAGAGTGTGATTTGTACCCTCCCAGCATTAATTGTGTACAGTAGCTATGGTTTTATGTATGCTCATCTAAGGGATGGTGATTCTGCTTTCCTCTGTTTTCTTTTCAATAATAGAAAAACTTTAATCCATGGGATTTAATTCTCCCCAACCCCATACAACAACAATAATAATTAAAAAAAAAAAGAAAAAGAAAAAGAGGTGCATAGAATTTACTGAATTTTGGATTCATTTTCTGCTATGTTTATAGTTTTACATGGTAAAGTAATGCGCAAGGTGGGTGTCGAAGTCATGGGACTGGGAGCATTGAAGCTCACAGGATTCCTTAGGGAACTGATGCAACAAAATGATATAAAGTTTCAATCTCTATACACTGTGCGGACTCTAAAAGAGGTATTGATGTTATTCTACTAGTTTCCCTTTTCTTATTTAGATTTTGGGCGAACTCGGTTTTCCTTATTGTTATATTTATAGTTCTATGTTATCACATATGGCAGAAGGAATATCACTATATGACTGTTTTCATCTGAAAAACATTTGCCAGGATCTTGAATCAAACTAATAAAATCCTTCCAACTGTATAAAGAATGGACACCTCACACCGGCCATTCTCTAAATATTATGGCTCATTAATATCAGAAAGTGTGATTAAGTTAGAACATATCCTATAAATAATTATTTCATCTTGCTCCCTTTGTCATTTAATGGAAGAGAATGATGGATAATTTTATTTTTATCATTCTGTTGGGAACTCTATGGTTTTGTTGCTTACTGATTTGAATTTCAAAGCAAGACCATTCCTTCTTCCCCCTTTCACTGAAAGTAAATTTCATCCTTTTTAAGCTTTCCTGATGCTCTTGATGTTGTAAAACTACAGAACCTATGCTATGTTGCGGCTGATTATAATGCAGAGCTTGCAAAAGACACACAAGCATCTTTGGCGATTCCAGCAGAAGGGTGGTTTACACTTTCAAAAGAACGGTTTCAAACAGGGGAGATCTTATTCCAGCCACGTATGGCCGGAGTGTAAGTTCAAACTAGAAAGTGATTTAACTCGTTGTCTTTGGTAAAACCAAGTCCACCACGTAGACATTCAGAAACCGCTCTACCATAATAATCTAGAAACTCAGGGTGCCCCAAGGCATATTTATATTAAATGATTTTAACAATGTAGGTTTATGCAGTTGTTGGTACGATTATGTTGTGATGCCTCAAGCAACCACCTTCTTTTCATTTTATTTTTGGTCTATTTGAAAGTTGAAAACTAGGAAGTTTTATTTTATGATTTAGCTATTAAAACTGAAATTGTGTTGATTTAAGTTCTTTATATAGGCAATCAGTATAGGTTGTATATAGGTGCCTGTTGATCTTGACTTATCAGAATGGGTGAATGATTAAATGTAACATGAGGCCCTTGGTACAGGCGTGCAATGGGATTGCACCATGCTGTTGCACTTTGTATGGATCATTGTCATGCTGCTGAGTTGACAGCTGACAATACCTGGTTCAAGACTGTGGTTTTGTCCGGGGGAACTGCATGTTTACCAGGACTTGCAGGTATAAACCCATTCTAGGTGACTTTTTGTGAACTGTTGGTTATAAGATGAATTAGTACATTTATATGAAGAACAGAAGAAAAGAGTAGATAGCATGACATAAATATGGTAGATTGACTCATCAAGCTCTAAAGCATTTATCATGTTTGAGCTGTTTTACAGAAAGATTAGAGAATGAACTCCATGAGCTTCTTAGTCCTTCCCTATCCAATGGAGTAAGAGTGATTCCTCCTCCTTTTGGTGCAGACAGTGCATGGTTTGGGGCAAAATTTATCAGCAATGTAATCTTCTTTACCACATCAATGAACACCTGAAGACTTGCATCATTTTTACCTCTTAGCATTGACTGATTAGTTATTACTGTTTAATACCAATACACAGACTTGCATGCTGATGTTGATTCCATGTTTTTATAATGCTGGTTTACCTTCTTTGTGATTATGCAGTTAAGTACATTCCTTCCATCCTGGTGCATAACAAAGAAGCAGTTCCGTCGGAAGTCTAAAGTAAACCTCGTATGGTGAAACATACACTGTATAGATGAGCATCTTCCCTCATCCTTGTATTAGTGTCTAATAACATGCCAGTCTTGACAGGAGTCCTGACTTCTGGCGGCATTTAGTTACACAGATGACATTATCTTTGGGAGCAAAGACAACATAAGAGCCGTATCAAAATAGAAAAAAATAAAAAATAAAACAAGACAACACAAGAGCTCAAATAGGAATTGTAGTTATATTCTTTAACTGAGAGAAAAATGAAATAATGTTTCTGTAATATATTTTGAAATTTAGATAGTAAGCATCTGATCCGAACAGGTATTTGTTTCATGGTGATGTTTTGTTTGTTAATGAAAGGGTAATATCTATAAGCAAATCCAATTTTATAACTCTACTGTATTTCCCATTTTGCTTTTTGCTTTTCCGTTTGTATCCATCCTGCATAACACTTGATTGCTGTAATTCAACTTAGAGCATGTTTGGATTGAGGGAAATATAGATGAGAGAAACTTTGTTTATTTGGTTATTAAACAAAGTAGGAACCCAGCAGAGCATAGAGAGAACTCTTTGGTACATTCTCAGACCATAAATGCAGGAACCAACACAAAATCCACTCATTTGGACTAAGACAAATCATACATATAAATTACAAAGTTTATGATGGTAATCAAGAATTGAAAAGCTTAGGCCGACAACCTTCGATATGAAAAAACTGGATTCTCCAACCCTTAGACAGCATTGTGCTCCAAAAGAAAAAATAAATCAAGAATTGAAACAAACAGAATTGACATCTGGTTCTTCACAATAACTTGAATAATAACACACAGAAACCAACTGTGACCATTAGCAGAGGAGATGGATTGCAGATTGACTGACTCCCACTTGCCGTTTGTGATAGGGATGGCGATGTAGCATTGCAGGCAAGTCCTAGCTTTCCTTCTTTGCATTCATTAGCAAAAAGACCGGGAGGGTACTTCCCATAAAGATTAATGTAGCTGAACATGGTTGAAGCACAGTCAGTTGTGAGGTCATTAATCTCATCTGCATATGGACAGGCAAAATCCTTGAATGCTGCACAACAGCTAGCAGCTGGGTAAGTAGGTCCTTTGCATCTGCTTGTGATGACTGTATAGTTCAGGAACTCAAAGTTGACAGGGCAAGCTGCATTTAAGGCAATATAGAAATGAATCATGCTGGAACTAATCCAAACTCTCAGCTATGCTTTTCAACAATGGATTTTAAGACAATCAACTTCTCTACCTTTACCATTATTTATTAACCAAGCAATGAAGAATCTGAAAATATATGTCTAACAAATCAAATATCCTAAGTATCAGTGATGTGGATCTGTAAGGCATACTTTAGATCGCTAAACTAAGACCCGTGAGACCAGGTCCAGGGGTGGTGACAATGTGGAAATAGCAAAATCAAGGATGAAATAAATGCATTGACCATCAAATAGAGTGACCTCTCAGAAAAGAAAAAACATATGTATTCCTTGATCCAACTAAGGATTTAGATTCAATTCATACATGATGCATGGGGATCGGGTGTTGTTCAGAGAAGAACATTAGAACATACGTGAGTATGAACAAATAAAATTCTCTTTCTCAATACAAGAGGGTATTCTAAAACAAGCAGAACTGCATCAACATCAGATTTGCAACTAAACCATCCAACAATATCACTCCAAAATAATCAAAACATCAACTTTCTTTCAGCAACATACTGGATTGACATGGGACTAAAATTATAACATTTCAAGCCATGAGATCTAATTTCAAACAAAATTAACCCCAGAAAAGTGGGCAAGGGAAGAAAGAGCAGAAAACCTTTCTTGGCCTGAAGGAGGTTCCTGCCAGTGGAAACGTAAGATTCGAAGACAGACTCTGCACCCAGATCAGAGAAAACAAAAAAAGTAAGAAAAAATTCCATCAACAGCTAAAAGCAAAGGGAATCACATATTGGGTATTGAGAAGATGATGAATACCTGAAAAAACAGTGGCAGAAGAAGCAGAAGCAGAAAGAGCCATGAAAAGAAAGAGAAATGCAAGGCCCATCCTCTCCATCATTGTTTCAGCAGAGAAGACAAGGAAATCAACAGATCTACCACTTTACTTGAGCAAAGTTTGAACCTTTCTCTTGTAACTTCTGGGATTTATTCGATACAGAAATAGAAAAACGAAGCTTGAATTGTAACAAGGTTGATGGACCAATGTGAGAAAAGGAAAGAAGGGAAAGAATTTACTTTATAACAATAAAATAATGAAAGACAGACGAAGACCGCGTCTGAGTGTCCCATCTCAACTCAACTGCCCAGCATAATTGACAATGAATGGATTACAGCTTAGAGGAGAAATCACCGTCAAAGCTGCGGACCCTGTCTTCGAAATTGTCATAGTTACGCTGCCATGTATTTTAAGCATTTTACAATATAACAGTATTATAACTTTATGATATTCATTATAATATGATATTTTATATATAATTAATTTTTATTTAATAGTTAAGTTTTGATATTATATATTTATTTAATAATATATTACAACTATTTAATATTATGTAAAATTATAAATTTATTATCTTATATAACATTATAATTATAACATTTTTATTATCTTATTTTTTTAGTTTTAAGAAAAACTTCAAATAAGACCCCAAAAATTCTTACTATCTGCAATTGAGCCAGTATAGTTTTCACTTTTGGTACAAGCCCTTAATTAACCTCTTAACTTCTCTACTTGCAAAAACTGGCTTGATTAAGGGTCGATTTTCCCAATCCACCCCCAAATAGGAGAGTAGAGAGGATTCCTCACATGTAATAATGTCTGTTGATATCTAAAAATAAACTAATGGAATGAGACCATGTGTCAGGTTTAGACCCAACTATTAAGGAGAGACAGTATGTTAGATTGGGTTGTGCTAGCTTAAAGTTTTATAGCCTTGACAGAATTTATGGTGAGCTGGACTCATATGGCAGATGATAAGGTGGTTTTTAGTGGTTGAATTTGATTTAAATTAGGAAGTTAAGGGTTTTTAGGAGAAGGTTACTATTAGGGGTTTTATTAGAATTAAAACTGGATTAAAATGGTCAATGGTCAAACAAAAGAAAAACTACCAGACAAAAGAAAAACTACCTTAGACGTGAAGCACCTAGTATCTATTTATGATGGGAGAGGGTCGAAATTCATGGAAGAAGGTTCCTAGCATCAAAGAAAAGGAAAACAGGAGGAAAAAAAATCAGTTCTACACGACTTGCCTTATAGAAAACTACCCAGTGCATATGCTTTTTCAACTTTCAGACTATTTCTTCCAAATTTCAACATAATTTCCATATTAGAGTGCAAGTTCTATTCTTGTTCATAGTTTTAGTTTAGGTTTTTTCCATCCTTGTTTGTATTTTCTCTCAAACATTGCAATTTTGGTTAGTTTTTAAGGATTTGGAAGCAAATCAGCATAAAAAACTAGTTTGCCTCGTTGATTTGGTTAGTTTTTTTTTTTTTTTTTTTTTTTTTTTTTTATGGATTCATCTTTGTTATTTGTTTATGTAAATAGGTTTAATGCTTTTTGCCTTCTTTTCTTGGTTTTTACATGACTGTTAGACTTACAGTTTGTTTAATTTCAATTTCTAACTAAAGATTTAATTTTACAAGTTTCCAAACTTTGATCATTTTGTAGGTTCTCTTCTAGTTTTTAGCAATCAAGTAATTTAATTATTTTTATTTTAAATATGCAAGTACTTAGTTTAATCATTATTGATCGTGAAGTTAAAATTAATTGTTTTAGGGTACTGCATTTAATTTAAAGTTTGTAAATTTTGTTACACTTTAGTGGTTGTAAAGTCCTTGGAGGTATTCAATGCAATTAGTAACCCATTTAATAAAAATTCATTCTCTATTTTGCAATATCGTCTGGGGTGCAATTTATTTTACAAATGTTCTTGACGTTATTTTCAACCATTCTTTTGGAGGTCAATCGTTAAAAAGAGGAATGATCATCTAGAAAATCCTGTTTTCTTGTTTTTAGACCAAGCAAGTGACACGCTTTATTTCCAAACTCATGTGTCTAGAGCTAGTTAAGGATTTTTTAGGAATCAATATCATAGATTAAATAATAAATAATTTATCTTAATTAACAATTTAAAGAGATAATTTATTCATACTTTTTAAAAATGTAATTTATTAGCTTTTTTGGTTAAATATTAATTTTGATCCCTCAACTTTAAAGTTTTGTAAAATTTTCATCCCTCAACTTTTTTTGTACACTTTTTTGATATTTTAAATGTGAAAAATATACTTCCTTAGGTCTTCTATTAGTTAATTCATTAAATTTATCTAAATTTACATATTTTTTATCCTTCAACTTTTAATATATGTATTTTTCATCAAATTGAGGACCTAAATTGACACTTAACTTTTTTCTTTTTTTAATGGACCTGTTCCTATCTCTCTTTCAGGGTAAATTTGTCCCTTTCGCTATGTTGAGGCAGATTCGGGGGTTGGGCCCTTAATCAACGTCACTTCTCTGACTTTTTTTGAGATATTTGCCCTGTTCCTAGGTGGACAATTTGAGACGTGACACCATTACCTATTTTCAAAAAAAAAAAAAAAAATTGAGACGTGACAACTTTTATGAAAAATTGT